TCAAAGGCAAGACCATTTTAGGCAATGAAATGATCCACACTTCAACATGAGATGTGATAAAGAATTGAGACAGAGCAGATGTTTAATAATACAGAGAATTAGAGAATATGCTAGTAATAACACTGAAATTTTGAGACTGGACAAATGCACTATGTTGCCGATCAAACACTCCTAAATCTGAAGCAAAAACAATATACCATTTACTAGTATTCTTAAATAAAGCGCGCAATTTTCACTTCCATCGCTCCTTCAGATTGCAGCTTTGTGTACACGCATTTCTGGAAATACAGTAGTACAAAATCCATCACCTCTGTTGTAACAAGCGAAAAAACTCAACAACAATTAAATTGGTAGCTTGCAAACCTAAAGAAGAAGGGAAAACAGAAGGATTAATTATTTATACAACTATATTAAGAAACAATGAGTACAGCAGGATGAAGATGCACTTGCATCAGCACTGTTTGCAACCATATTAATACAAAACTTAAATATTCAATCAGAAACGCAAAAGAATAATGGAGGAATAATCTTCTGTACAAGCGAGCAGTTGGAAATTATGTAAAGAAAATTCTGCCAGCATATACACTGTACCACGCCATTCCTTCACAAACAAGAATGACAGTAAACAAGTGGCAGAGTCTAACTTCACGATAATTAACACAAACTCGACATAAACATAGGCCAAGTTCGAATCAAAATATGTGATATTGTGGACTATATTAACTCAATGTTTAAATCAAAATCAACACCAAAGGAATTTTCATCTAGCTCGATATTTATGCTGCAAGTTCAACTCAAAGTGCCAACAAATTCAGTACTAAGCAATACTTGCTTGCCAAGTGAACTTCAAATGGCATGCAAAATATTAATGAAGAATATGATACAGTTTCATTGAGAGATCTCCCACACTGATAGTTTATTTGTGGAGCACTAAGCTGTGTACTTCTTATTAGATGAAAAATTCAAAATATGTATTGTAGTGAACTATGAAACAAGAACAGTGTACTAATAGTTAGGAAACACAGCTTGAATTGATCATGCTTCGCTTATATTCAAGGACGGGTAGAAAAGCTAGTCTATCATCCATGTTACTTCTGTTCATAACGATTCTGTATGCTCATGGCTAGCGGTTTCCCACTTGACTAGCATTGAGAGTACTATATGATCATTGGCTTGCATGAGAACTACACAATATTTTATGACACGGAAAAATCAATTAATCAATGGTTACTTAGATACAAGCAGAATCAGGATTTATGAACACCAAGAGATAGCTACTCTAGTAGAGTATGGATGCAATGCATGATATCAGGGACATGGTCCAATGCAGATTTGCTATGGAACAGTCCACACCTTGAACGGCTCAAAATGTACAGCGTGAATAATTCACATCAAGAATAAGACAAGCCGAAGGATGGAAGGGTATCAAGCTCACCATGTTCTGCTGGAGGATTGTGGCGTCGACGTCGACCAGGTGGGAGATGTACCAACTATAATATGCAAAGCAAAGATATTAGTGTGACAACTGGATGTGCGGTTTCATTTCATTATTACTGAAATGCATATGTTATCTCAACTGAACCAAATTCTTAAAGAACTATGCCTTCACAAATGTCTAAATTTACTAACTGGAGTCTTGAAGAATTGATTCAAATGCATACTAACTGAACTATGAAGGAACAATGTACAATGGCTACCCACACATTACTTTCCCTTTCTTCATGATATACTTGAGGTTTGTCTTGCATAAAGAAACAAGTATCTATTTATTACTTGGAATTATAATAATGAACTAACATCAGAAACTTGAAGTTGTGCAACACTGACCATCCTTTGGATAATAATAATAAATGGAACCAAACATATTTTCCATCTTTGCATTGGTAAGACTAAAACACATATATCAGACACCATATTACTAGTCCTTGAAATGTGCCAACTAAAATGAAATACCGGCTTCACCTGTCCTGGATGTCCTCTTATCAATCATGCAATGTTCAAGCTTATAGAATTCGTGAGATATATATCTGTCAAAATTCGCTATGCAATCTAAGTGAAAATGCAAGCCTTAACCTATGCTTAATATAGATCAGGAATTAAAACTGACCGGTCACAAGCGAATATTACAAGTAAATTTTGAGAAAGCAAGTTCCAATATGCACGGTAGTTATCAGTTCCGTGAATAATTCAGGAGCAGCGGATGAAATAATATAAGCAGAGGATGCCATAGAGGAGGAAGGCAGAGGTACCAAGTTCTCATTGAAGAGGTTAATTGGTGATGTAGTGGTCGCAGTGCAGGTCGGCAACCACCATGGCGCGGCAGAGGAGGTCGACACAGGAAGCATAGCCGCGTCGGAAAGGCGGCAGAGGAGGTCCGGCTCCCCGCCATCCAGCCCAACTCGCACGAGCGCATCGAGCTAGGGGACGCCATCCAGGAGGCGGAGAGGCGTGGAGTGCGTTGTCCAACGGAAAGGAGCCGCCGGAGAAGCGCCGGCGATGGACGCGATGCCGCAACCGAAACCCTAGCCACGGGCTAGGGGTCGTGGACAAGCGCCGGAGACTGGTGCTGGCGGATCCAGACGGGCCGGAGGAGGGAGGGGTCGGAGACTAGCCCGTTGGTGTGCTGTGCGGTGGCAGACATCGCCGAAATCTACAGGTGCTGGTCCCGGCGCGAGGGGTCGCACGAGAGAGAAAGAGTTTGGTTGCGAGAGGTGTGGATGGGTGGGTGATGCGGAGGATCTGCCATCTGCCATAGCTGCAAGGTGAGGTGAGGTGAGGGGGGCGGCGGCGAGCCGTGGGAGGAGGGATGGGAAGAGGTGGTGGGTGGCGGCGATGGGGAATGAGGAGGCGGCTGCGTGGAGGAGGAGGAGAGGAGGGGGCCGTGGAGGAGTGTGTTAGGGTTAGCCTTTTATATGCGAAATGGTTGGGCGGGCTTTAGACGGGCTTGCGGGGCTGTATCAGACCGTCCATAACAGTTTCTGAAATTGTCATCGTAAATTCGTCATAGATTAACAGATTTCTTGTAGTGTATAGTGCCGACTCACCCAAAATGATACCCGGTAAGCTTCCAAGAGCACATCACGTTATTATCATTTTGAGCTTACATGACAGTTTTTTAGGGAATGTAGTGCAGTACAATGTTGGCAGATCAACACGCAACGATGGATCACAATCTTGCAACTGTGTGGTGGGCATATACAGGCACGCACGCACATGCTGCGATCGGGCACAGAAGGTGCGCGCGCATAGTCCACGAGGACGAGGGGGGACACGGGCTGCATGGGTAGGAGGAACGAAGCGGAAAACGACGTCCCAATCCCACCCGCCACCCGGCAATCTCCGCTAGCTCGATCCCCCCGACCCCTACGCGATCGGCGCCGGTGTTTAGGCGGGCCGCCCGTACGTCCACCTCACTCGCGCATATCGTCAAGCTAGCTAGGCCTCTCCCATTGCCGGTGCATGCACGTACGAGTATGCCCGCGTGACCGAGTGAGTGCCGATTCCCGAAACAAGATGCGTCCACGCGCGTCCGTCTGCCCTGATTGCTGTTCCTACATGATGAAGTGGACTGTTCGACATGGCCATCTCATCTCAGAATAGCCCGATGATATTGTAGCAGATGGAGCAATTGGTGTATGCTATACATATGCGCATCCACATTCGGAAATGTACTACAGTACATCTTAACATGGTGGGATATCAGGTGCAATCTTAGACTTACTGCGTGTTCGATAGATACCATCATAGCAAGCACTTTCGGTTCGGTCGTCAAATCAAGCTGAAAAATATAACCCGTCGAACTTTTCAGTCACCTGTTTTACTTTTGCAGCGGGACGTCCTCATGAGATCAAGACCAGGGTTGTCTACTTGATCCACCACCATTAAGGCATTAAGGCAATGGCTTCCATATCAGTAACAGTTACTCCTGCTCCTCCGCCTCCCGCCGGCGCTGACGCCGGTCCGTCTCGTCTCCAGAGGCCTTAGGACCATGGGAGCGTGGTGGATCCCGACCTTTGCTGATAGGAGGACCCTGTTTTTAGATGTGTTTTTGAGTTTTGTTAGGATTTGTGTTCTGATCAGAAAGGCGAGGCGGCTGCGGCGGCTCCCTGAAATGGAATAAGGTTCTCCTCGCATAGGTCCTGTTCCGGTGGTGCATCTAACATCATCGACGGGCATGTGAAGGTGTGTCCCTGGCGGATCTGTTTTTCGGTAGATTTGCTCGGATCTTTTTGTCGTTCGTCTACGTTCGTGTGTCTTCTGGTTGTATCCTTCCAATCTAAGCTACTCTTCATCGATGGCGGTTGTCGTTCTGGTGCACTGGTCCCACGGGGTTTTAGCATGACGACTTTCCGACTGTCTACTACAACAAGTTTGCTCGGCTCCGGTGAGGGAGGGACGATGATGGCGGCATGCCTCCGGCGTGTAGTCGTCGCTAGATGGTCTATGAATCTGAATATAATTTTTTTATTATTTTTGATGTTCGTTATACTACCGTGATTGGAAATGAATAGATAGGATGTTTAAAAAAAATTACTCCCGCGAAGTGACCGCAGTAGTACGATCTTACAATAATTCACACGTACATTTTTTTTTTTTAGAAATATCCACACGTACATGATGCATGTTGTTGGAGGCGCCAACATCATCACCAAGAAGCCTAAAAAGCAGCAACTAGGCTGCAAAACGACGATACCTACCTTCTCCCCCGAACCCTGCTTCGGATCCACCAAAGCTAACACAAAACTAAACCCACATTTTGCATTGTGATGATACGTCATGATGAGCCCTAATTACGAGTATACATTCGATCCCATTCCATTTGTTTATGTACCTAACAGTAATCCTGCACCATTATTCGGCACGCGGGCCCACCAAAGCCATCGCCATCCACACGAATCTGACACCAGTACTTGCAACTGGAGAGTGGAGACCGGGACAGGCGAGCACGTCCAAACGCACGTCCCGTACGCGGGCCGCGCGCTCTGATCCAGCCGGCGCTGTCACGCACAGCCGCCGCTGTCTCCCGCCATCCTCTCGACCGCGCGCCACAGGCGCCGGGTCTCGGCGAGCGCGTCCTCCGCGGGCAGCTCGGCGCGGCAGCACGGGCAGGTGTTGCGGCGCGCCAGCCACCGCAGCGCGCACGGCCAGTGGAACCGGTGCCCGCACGGCCGCAGCACGCACACCCCGCCGCGCCCGGGCGCCATCTCCTCCCTGCAGATCGCGCACGGGGTCCCGTCCCCGGGCGCGGTCGGCAGCGCCAGCACTGTCGCGTGCGACGCACCTCCGCGCCCCACGCTGTTTTTGTTACCATCGCCACCGACGCCGGCAACGGCGCGGTCCTCCGAGACGACGTCCGCGAACCGGCGGCACTTGGCGGCCGCGTCGAGGTACGGCGCGACGGTGGCCCAGGGCGTGCCGCCGAGGCCGGAGATGGAGAGCGCGTTGCGCACCACGTCGTCGACGAGCAGCGCGTGCCAGTCCACGGGTGACGCGGAGGAGGCGGCCGGGGAGTAGGAGTCGCACATGGCCACGAGCAGGAGCGCGGCGTCGAGGTCGGGCGTCGGGAGGCGGAGGAGGTGGTGGGAGCCGTCGGGGGAGAGCGCCGGGAGCAGCATGAGGAGGGAGCGGAGGAGCACGCGGCCGAGCAGCGCGGCCTTGGCTGGGAGAGGCATGGAGCGGAGCCGCGCGAGGGCGCGGGCGAAATGCGGCGGGGAGAGGAGGAGGAACGCGAGGCGGCCGCGCTGCCGGCGCGCGTCCGCGCCAAGCGCCCGGACCAGCGAAGGGAGCCGCACGGCGGGAACGAATGAGAGGAGGGCGGCCATTATGGTTTCGGACGAGGAAAGGGTCGGCGAGTGGGCATGGCTGGCCTCCATCGGGATCGCGGGCAGCTTTGGAGAGAGCGGAGTGAGATGGTGGGAAATCTCTTTTTGCAGGACATTTATACACACTTCAAAGTTTTGGAGGGCAATGCAGCGTGTCTATGGGAACTTGTGTAAATCTGGACTGTAACACGTGTGGCCTTACATTGATACAGGGGCACAGTCGAAATCGTGGATCCACACGTCATTTCCGGACATGGCAAATCCACTCTCTATACACCTGCGGGCGTGTTCATAGACATCGTAACCAGTTCCTCATATTGCCGCACATCCACGTGCCCTAAATGTGGATATTTAAATCCATACGATTCATACACGTCGATCATACAATGTAAAAATTGTCCGTATTGTTCGAAACAAAGAAAAACAAATAATAGTTTAACAAAAGGGACATGCCAAATTGAAATCCATGTCCAAGCGTAACAGATGACTCGCTTGCCGTATGCCGTATCACTTGTTGGTAGTGGCGGATCTAGGACCCAGATCAGGGGGCCTGGCCCTGGGCCTGGGGCGTGCAAAATACATACTTCAGTTACTATGGCATTTTGGGCCGTGTAGCAACACCGTTGCGTACTGTAGCAGGCCTGGGGCCTGGGGCGTGGCTCAATCGTAGCTCCGTCCGTGCTTGTCGGACGCCACCCATGCCGCCTGCTCCAAGGCCATGCTAGCATCCTGCTCCGCCTGCATCTGGGTTGTCCCGCTCGGCATGCATCCTTGCTGCATGCTTCGCCACTGCCACAGCCGCCCTCACCGATCGTACTCCCTACGCTCGTTGATCTCCTTCTTCTTATCCATAAGCCACTTCTTTGCATATGCTCATCCAAAAGGGTTTCGTCCGTCAACATGATCTTCGCATCCTTCGCATCCCATGCGAATTGCAACCTTTCCTGCTCAAGCTCAATCTATCCAAATGTATTGTCCTTCTCGAGTTCCTATTTGATCGCGGCCTCTTGCTTCTCCAACTCGATCTTCTCCCTCTCAATATCCAGCTTCTTTTCTGTCCTCTTCCGGTCTCAATCCATCTTTTTCTTTTGCGCATCCAACATGAGTTTGTACCTCTCCTCTTTCTTGTTCTACCTTGCCGAAAAAACGCCCGCCCATGTGGACGACATTTTTGTAGCCGCGGCGTCACCAGAGTCCCTTACCTTCTCCCACTTCTTTCCCATGACTTGATGGTTATCCTTTTGTTGGGGAACGCAGTAATTTCAAAAAAATTCCTACGCACACGCAAGATCATGGTGATGCATAGCAACGAGAGAGGAGAGTATCGTCCACGTACCCTCGTAGACCGTAAGAGGAAGCGTTATGAGAACGCGGTTGATGTAGTCGTACGTCTTCACGATCTAACCGATCCAAGTACCGAACGTACGGCACCTCCGAGTTCAGCACATGTTCCGCTCGATGATGTCCCACGAACTCCGATCCAGCAGAGCTTCACAGGAGAGTTCCGTCAGCACGACGGCGTGATGACAGTGATGATGTTGCTACCGACGCAGGGCTTCGCCTAAGCACCGCTACGATATGATCGAGGTGTGTAAGTGCATCTAGTGCCCCTTAGTGATTTTGGTGTATTGAAGACTTATAGGTTAAGGGACTGATGCGTTTGCGAGTGTACACATGTCTATAAGTATATGAGGAGTTTGATATTTACAGAGAAAGTCGACCCCTAAACATGAAGTTCTTCGACTGAAGACTTTGGATTTCTGAAGACTTTCTGAAGACTTTGAAAGTGAAGAAATTGGTGTAATCCTGAAGACTTGGTATTCATTCGAGGAACATGAAGCATGAAGACTTTTGTCTTTGTAGTTTCATTTTCTCTTTCTTGAGTCATAGAAAACATGGTACTGTTAAAGGGGGTCGAGGAAATACTAAGGAAAAATTTCTAAGTGATGCTCAACTCAAAATCCTACACCTACCAATCCCTTCGAGTGAAGCTATTGGAAATCTCATATAGTTCAGTCAATTTCTTCAGTGGCAGAGACAAAATTCTTCTGGTCTCTGAGGAATTTGATCTGACTGAGGAGTTAGGAATTCGCCAGTGCGGATTGCCTACACAGTGAGGAACATGATAGCCCTAAGGAATTTGATACTCAAAATTCCGACCGTTGCTGTGCTATGCGCCAGTTGTCCCAAAATATCTACCCACCTAATGGTCATATCATTGAAGGGCATTTATGTCTTATCATGTCGGGCTGCTCCCTAGGCTATAAATAGCCGCCCCCCTACAACCACTAGCTGGTTGGCTGCTCCGAGAGAAACTGACACTTGTCATTTGAGAGCATACCATCCTCCGAGGACTTTGAGTGAAAATCATCAAGTGAGGAAAACCCAAATCCAAACACCTACAAACCCCTAGTGATTGAGCATCACTGAAGAGATTGATCCTGCGTGGATCCGATGCTTGTTACCTTTGAAGACTGTGCATCTTCCAGACGGTTAGGCGTCATGGTCTAGAGCATCCAAGAGGAAATTGTGGATCACCGAGTGACCGAGTCTGTGAAGGTTTGGAATTCACCTGAAGACTTACCACGAGTGATTGGGCAAGGTCTGTGTGACCTTAGCTCAAGGGGAATATGATGAGGACTGAGTGTCCTGAGCTGCGTGTTCAAGACTGGGTGTCCGGGATTGTGTGTCCTCAAGTTTAAATACCTAGCCGCCCTAACCAGACGTACAACTGTCACAACAGTTGGAACTGGTCTACCAAATCATTGTCTTCACCAAGCTACCTGGTTCCATTTACTCATTTCTGTATTGTGTGCTTGTTCATAACTGTTTGAAGACTTTGACTGAAGACTTTCTCTATTTCCTCAGTTTAATTTCTTCAGTCTGTTTGTCTTAGCCTGTGTTATCATGTGTTTACGATTTCTGTACTCTGTGCTTGTTTTCATTTCTTCATGAAGACCATGCTCATGCTCTGTTATGTTTACTTATGAGTACTTATTCCGCTGCAAGTAGTTCTTCACTTAGGAATTTCCCTATCCTGAAATTCTTCAGTGAAGAATTCATAAAAATCGCCTATTCACCCCCCTCTAGTCGATATAACGCACTTTCAATTGGTATCAGAGCAAGGTACCCCCTTGTTCTGTGTGATTTTGGTTTAACCGACTGGAGTTTTAGTTATGTCGACCGCAGGTATGATCAAGGTTTCTGCTGAGTGTCCTACCTTCGATGGGACGGACTACCCCTACTAGAAGAATAAGATGTGCATGCATCTTGAGGCAATTGATAATGATCTCTGGTACATTATGGAGAATGGTGTTCCCTTTGTCACTCCCACCATTGAAAGTGTGTTACATCGACTAGAGGGGGGGTGAATAGGAGATTTTTTATGAATTCTTCACTGAGGAATTTGCAGGTGAGGAAATTCCTTAGCGAAGAACTACTAGCAGCGGAATAAGTACTCAAAAGTAAACATAACAGAACACAAGCATAGTCATCATGATGAAATGAAGATAAGCACATAGTACTGAAAGCGTAAGCACAAGATGAAGACAAACTGACTGAAGAAATTGAACTGAGGAAATTGAGAAAGTCTTCAGTCAAAGTCTTCAGACATAGATACGAACAAGCACTCAACACAGTTATGAGGAAATGAAAGAGTTGAGGAAATAGAACCAGTGAGCTTGGTGAATACAATGATTTGGTAGACCAGTTCCAACTGCTGTGACATTTGTACGTCCGGTTAGGGTGGCTAGGTATTTAAACCCGAGGACACACAGTCCTGGACACCCAGTTCTGAACACGCAGTCCAAAACACTCAGTCCTCACTGTATTCCCCTTGAGCTAAGGTCACACAGACCTCGCCCAATCACTCGTGGTAAGTCTTCGGGTGACTTCAGAACCTTCACAAACTTGGTCACTCGGCGATCCACAATTCCTCTTGGATGCTCTAGACCTTGACGCCTAACCGTCTGGAAGAAGCAAGGTCTTCAAAGGTAACAAGCGTCGGATCCACGCATGATCAATCTCTTCAGTGATGCTCAATCACTTGGGGTTTGTAGGTGTTTGGGTTTGGGTTTTCCTCACTTGATGATTTTCGCTCAAAGTCCTCGGAGGATGGGATGCTCTCAAATGACAAGTGTCAGTTTCTCTCTGAAAGGATCGGTCGACTAGAGGGGGGGGGGGTTGAATAGGAGACTACAAATTTTAATCTTTCTTGTAGATTTTAAGGCTTAGCGGATAAAAGAGTTCACTAGATATGCAACTAGGTGAATGCAAACTATATGACAAGCAAGCTCCAAGATAGATATGTTGGGCAACAAACTACTTAGCAAGCCAACAAGCATACAACAACAAAGAAAGGTGCGGGAAAGGATTAACCACAAGTGAGACGAGGACGCGGATTTTAACCCGAAGTTCACTCTTCCTTGGGGAAGAGCTAATCTCCGATTGGAGCGGTGCCGGAGCCAAAGCTTGCGGAACGCCACCAAAGGCTCACCGTATTCTCCTTCGAGTCACCCCCAACGGATGAGCCTCGAAACACTCGGGGTTGATCTTGAAGGCGACCACCACACCTTTACAAACTTCTCCGGAGCACACCACAAGCAAGGAAGCTTCCGGAGGAACCTCTAACCGCCTAGGAGCCCAAGCTCCAAGAGTAACAAGTTAATGGGGAAGAAATGTTGCGGGGAACGCGATTGGTTTGGTCAAGTTGTAGATCGGGTCTTGCTCTCACAATCCCCAAAGTTTCAACAAGTTTGGGTGGAGGGATTGAGAGTATTGAGCAAAATGGGGTGTAGTAATGGTGGAGCTCAACAAGACATTAGGGTTGAGGGTGGGAGGTGGAAGAAGGGCCTATAAATAGTGTTCATGGGCTGGTGGCGATTTCTGCCCGTTGGACCCCGTGCGCACGGGCTAAGTCAGCCCCGTGCGCATGGGGTACACAAAGACAAACACACCACCCCGTGCGCACAGGGGTCAACAGACCCCGTCCGCACGGGGTACTTAGAGAGTTTACATAGGACCCCATGCGCACGGGGGTCAAAAGACCCCAT